CCCCCCTCCTGTCAGGCAGTTGTAGAGGGCGATGAGGGCTCCCCTCAGCCTCCTCTGCTCCAGGCTGAACACCCCCAGCTCCCCCAGCCGCTCCTCGTAAGCCTTGTGCTCCAGACCCCTCCCCAGCTTTGTGGCTCTCCTCTGGACATGCTCCAGCAACGCAACGTCTTTCTTGGAGTGAGGGGCCCAAAACTGACCCCAGCATTCAAGGTGGGGCCTCACCAGCACCGAGTACAGGGGCACAGTCACTGCCCTGCTCCTGCTGGCCACACCACTCCTGATACAAGCCAGGATGCCGTTGGCCTTCTTGGCCACCTGGGCACACTGCTGGCTCATATTCAGCCGGCTGTCAACCAGTACCCCATAGGTGCCCGTCTCCTCAGAGGCACCGACGGCGTGACCGTGCTGAGCGAGACGGCTGTTCCCTGACGGCGTCCCCATCTCTTGCTCTCTTTGGTCTCTAGTCCCCCCCGTGGTGGAGCCGGCCTTCCAGGACGTGCGCCAGGGCGTAGGGCGCGGAGTCACCCTGCGCTGCACCATGCTGAAGGGCAGCCCCATGAAGGTGGCCACCTCCGTCTGGCGCTTCAACGGGACCCTTCTGGCGCAGCCCCTGGCAGAGCAGCAGGACTACTCAGAGCTGAAGGTGGACAGTGTGAGCCGGGAGACCAGCGGTAGCTACGAGTGCAGCATTTCCAACGACGTGGGGGTCTCCACCTGCCTCTTCCAGGTGTCTGGTAAGTCACCGAGCGCGCACCAGAGCGAGCTGTTGGGTGGGGGTCACAGAGGTGGGGAGCTTGCTCCCAATAAACTGGTGCCAGTACAAGCCATCTCTGTGCATGGCACTGTGTTCAAAAGGGGATGACTGTCCCTAAGCCAGCAGGGAGATCTGCCTCCATCATTCAGGCATCCTTGGGATGGACCTGGGGCAGATAGTGGCAGCCACTGGGACATTTTAGTGGTGTTTGACCTCTTGCCTGAAAGATACGGACTTAAACTTGAGTCTTCCATCAGCTTTCAAGCTTGGACAACCTGTGTCCTAGATATATATTGACCAAGGAGGAGCGAAAGGTTCTACGTCACCCTCAGCAGCCTCCAAACCCATCTAATTTCCCCTTTTAAAACAAACAAACAAACAAAAACTGTATTATGTATTCCTGTACCTTCCCCATGTCCCCTGGATATCTCTGTGTCGCGATGCCTGCTAGGACAAACATAATCTGGGAATGGATCCTAGTACTCAGTGGATTTGCTGCTCACAGTTCTCTGTGAATCCAGCAGGCACCCTAACAGGACTCCTTCTCCAGAACCTGCAGCGGCAAAGAGGGATGGCAGAGTTATAGCAGCTAAAACCACACATCTGACCTCACCTCTCCAGCTGATCATTAAATCTGCTTTTCCCATGACCCCAGAATTGACTTGGGCACCAGTTTCTAGACAAGCTCTCCAATGAAGTTGCCTTAATAAAGCAGTAAATTCAGCCAAAATACTGCGGTTTCAGTCCAGGGTCAATTTATAATATTTTTCAAGTCAGGGCTGAACAAATGAGAATAAATAACATCCAGGGAGACCTGATTTTGAAGTAGATCTTTCCCAGGGTTTGGAAAAGCTCAGGTATGCTGTAACTCTGAGATGCTCTCAGAAACGGGGAAGCCCAAACCACTTCTACTGTTTGGGCCCCTTTTCAGGACATTTCCCTCACCCCTTGAGATCTGGAATTTGTCCAGCAGTGGATTTTGCTTGAGAGCTTTGGCCTTCTCTACCCTTTCTTCATATGCTTGCAACTGTCACGTCATTAACTAAACGACAGCAAACCGCGTCCCATTATGAGCCACCACAGCAAATTTTGTCCCCAGTGAGTTTGGGAATGCTCCCAGGGTCTGAATTTCTTTCCAGAAGTAGTAGCAAATCCATATTGCCACCCAGCGTGCCATACTGTGCCCCATGAGATAAAATCCCCTTGGCAGAAAGCAGCGTTCATCCCTAGAGAGGGCTCATCAGGAGAGCAACAAGCATTTATTTTCCTGCATCCGTTCTCTCTTTCCAAGGCATTGCTATCTGATGGTGGCTTTTCAGCTCCAGATGTCTCTGCCTGTGTCCCGGACAGCAACAAATCAATTAGACCTTCGGAGCCTGTAGAGCAACCTAAAAAATAACCCGGTGGCTAAAGTGCTGTGCTGTGCTCGGGACGGCCGGAGTTTTAATTCCCATCTGCCACAGCCTTCCTGAGTGAGGGGGGGAATGGCATCGTCTCTTTTGGTTTCTGTTTCTCCCCTGTGAAGGAAGAACCATAAAAACCTTCCTGTCTGACAGGGGGGCAGTGACTGTGAGGTGTTCAGATGTACTGGGAACAGAGTACGTAAACTTGCCCAGGATGGGATTAGTTTCTTCTACAGATAGGAAATTGGCTTGCTGAGATGTTTTGGAAGGCTAGCAAGACATCTAACCCACTCCCCTTGAGCACTTGCTGGTCACCACCTCCTCTCCTACCAACTACAAGCCCAGAAAAGCCCTGAAAGATGGCATGAATACCTTTCAGCTCTTCCCATCAGCTGTAAGCAAAAGACAAAACTTTCCAGCAATGGTAAAGGTTTCCAGAAAGGAAATTCCAAAAGCATCTTGATGTGCTGCATTTCTCTTAGAAGGCTTTTTGTTTTTTTTTTTAGCTTCCATTTCCATCTTGGAGTCAATTAATAAGGAATTAATATCATGCAAGATGATGATGATGATGAGTTCTGATTTTATTTCGGAATCCATTATGAAGCTTGACTTCCACAGTCAATACAAGTTGAATAAGCAGTAATTAGTCTCTGAGGTGGTTCCGAACTTCTTGCCTGTTCAAAAATTCAAGTCAATAAAAATAATAAGAAAAAAAGGACTTGGAAATAAACATCAATATTATCCATCTGAGTTTATAAAAAGTAAACACTGAATCCTTTCGAGCCTAATTATAACCACGCAGAATGGCAGGGCCTGTGGTTCAAATGGAAAGGTGCAGCAGGCTGCCTGGGGAGATGGTCTTCATGGCTGTTCTGCTCTCCAGCATCCCTCACTGCCCAGGTGTCTTGCTGGTCTGTGCAGGTCCAGATTTGACCCGAACTCAGAGTTTTGGCTCAGGCTCAGCTCCTGCCTGGCGCAGGACAGGATCTGCCAAAAATCGAAGTGCACAGGGTGAAAGGAAGGTGATTTCTAATAGGGCAAAACCAGTTGTGGGTAAGAACCTTGAGTTGCTTCTGGGCCCTGTGCATTAGTCTGCGAACCACGGGGCTGCACGGCGGTAGCCTTCAAATCATGTTTGTTAGTGGGTTGGGACAGCAGTGGCTGGGGAAACGCTGGGAAATCCATTTTTCTCTGAACCATCCAAGCTTCCCTCTGGTACCCTGTTTCTCCTGTGAGTCCCTTCCTCCTGCTGCCCTCTGTTTTTAACGGGAGACGTGGGTTTAGAAAAGACATCTCCACCCCTGCAACAGCTCCCAGTGTTTTTACCCAGGCGGAGGTCAGCATCCCCTTTGCTGCCGTGCTACAAAGAGGCCGGAGCACTGCGCTGCCAAGGCAGGGGGGATGCAGAAGGAGCAAGGTCTCCTTTTTAATGCCGTGGTCCCCCTGTGATGTGTAACAATTTTCCTATGACCTCCTGGCCAAATGATCTTTCCTCGGGGTTTGTTAGCAGGAGACTCTGTAAAGCAGCAGATGAAACAGGAGAAATGCCAGTTTAAAGCTGTTGCCTCAATCGAAACTACAAAGCAAGAGAGAAAAGATTAGAGCTGGTTCCAGCTGGAGAACTGAAATCGTTCCCACCTTCTCTGGTGTCAGTCGTGCCCCACTGGTGTTGCAGGGCTGCAAACCCTCCCGGTAGTTTAGGCAGTGCAGTCAGTAGTGATTCACAGATAGCGAAGGCACGGCAGTGCGACACCAGCTACGATCATGTAGGCGTCCGTCATGTCAAAGGCAAGCGGATGAGCTTGGGGAGCAGAGCTGTTCCACTCTCACCACATCTCTGTGTAATTTATGTTCCCCTTGATCCCACTCTTTACTTTCCTCCCTTTTTTTTTCCCCTCCCTCTCCAGCAAAAGCTTACAGCCCGGAGTTTTACTATGACACTCCCAACCCCACCTTGAGCCAGAAGCAATCCAAGAATTACTCTTACGTCTTGCAGTGGACACAGAAAGAGCCCGATGCTGTGGATCCCATCCTCAAGTACCGCCTGGAAGTCCGGCAGGTAAGGTCTGCTCTTCTGGAGCCTCAGCGGGTGCCCTTGGGAAAAGGACCTCTCAGGAGGCCCTTACATCAACACCTCCTTGCCAATTAAGATCTGAAGGTGATGAAATTGCCAGACCCTGGTGGCCTTGCACCTTCCCCACCGCATGGAAGAGACAGGCCAAGCGCACAGCTCGCCGTTCGTTTTTACGTCTGGTGTTGGGTACGATCGAGGGCCTTCAAAGCCCTCCTGCCTCCCATCAGACTGTTCATGCTCAGCGCTTTGAGTAGGGTTTTAATGTGAACAAAACCCCACAGTCGTTAGTGGGTATTGTAGATTTTACAGGCCAAAGGCTCAAGCGAGTGGAATTCCACCCTCCCCGCTCACATGAAATAAAGGGAGGAAGCTGAAGAGCTCTCCAGGCAGGAACTGCGGGAAAAAGTCATCAGCTGTTTGTGTTGCAGAAGGGCTTTCGTACTGTCACAGTAACGAAGCGATTTGGACTGTATAAGCTCTGCAGGGGAAGAGAAGTGGGTTTCAAGGTTTCTGAGTCGGAAGAGAAATCGTACCGGGCCGGGGGGGAGGAAGAACTGAGGGAAATCTGAAAAGATCACTGCTTGGAGAAGGTTAGGGAGAAGAGTCTAATGTTTTTAAAGAGCACATTGACCTAGTAGGATTGCCAGGTACTTTCATCCACGCTCAGCAAAGTGCCCGGCGTTCAACATCTTTTAAAAACGGGGACGCTTAAAATCGGTGGTTGTTGCCGTTTGGTGGTAGCTTGGAAGCAAACGCATTTTGCAAGGAAAATTTTGTTTACTGTAGATAGAAAACAAAATAATTAAAAAGATCCAAGTGTCTCTTTCCTCTAGTCCTGCACAGTAGGCTCCGGTTTTATGTCTCCGTTTGCTTGTGAGCTCTCCGGGGTGGGACAGCCTTTGTTTGTTCCTCAAACTGCATGGAGCACGTTGTCAGGGCTTAATAATAATACAGGACACAGGGGAGCCTCTAATAATGAAGGCAGTTTGTCAAAGTACCCCTTCCTTCTTAGCCCAGGTTCGCTATTATCAGCACTGCAACTCAACCAACTCATTTGTGATTTTCCTCCTTCCCCAGTGATGTTGAGGGTTTTTTTTTTTCCCTTTTGCACAGTGCCTGAAAGTAATCTTGGATCTGTTCCACACTGGGCTCCTACTGAAAGGGATCAAGAAAAGGGAAAATCACAGTTCTGCTTTAAGTTGTGACACGAAGGAAGCTGAGTGCCCGGGCAAATTTAACGCCCCCTGGTTTTGTTCATACCTCACCAGTTATTGCTGTTCATGTTGCTTCTGAAGCGTCACTGCATAGTTGAGACTGTTGAGTGGTGTGGTTTAGAGGAGCGTTATACCATGGCCCTGCTGTAGAATCATAGAATCATAGAATCATAGAATGTTTAGGGTTGGAAGGGACCACTAGTGGTCATCTAGTCCAACCCCCCTGCAGTGAGCAGGGACACTGCTAACTAGATCAGGTTGCTCAGAGCCCCATCCAACCTGCAGGCTAGCCCAGGCTCATCTATGGGTTGGCTCTTAGAAGTGGCTGCAGGTCCCATCGTAGTGGCCTGGGTCGGAATAAGGAAGGGCCAAGTGAGGAGGAGGCAGGGGGGATTTGTTCCCACTTCTGTCCAGCCCAAGCAGGAAACACTCTGGAAAAGGCTTTCATGGTGTTGCCTCCTCCCGGCCCTCCTCCAACAAAGACACTTGCATTTCATGGTGAGGTCTCCATCCCCACACACCGTACTGCAATCCCACTGTGCATTTTTCATTTCCCTGTCCCAGAGGATCACATCCCTTCTTGTCTCCAACTTCCCACCTCCCAGAGCTGCCTCTGCTCCTGTCTTACCTTCCTGGCGTTTGCCCTGCGATGTCTCACTTGGGCTCCAGGCAGCCTTGTGACAGCTCCAGACCTTCCACTCCTTCCCTTGCGCCATCACCCTCTTCCATGTCCCGCAGGCTTTGCTGCTCTGTCACATCTTCTTCTCCATGCTGGGGCACCTGGGCTAAGCTTCATGTCCTACTCTTCCACCATCAGACCGCAGAACACGGTGACGTTACTGAACGTAACTGTGAAGAGCTCAAAAGCTTAAAAGTGTTGCTGGCTGGAGAGCTCTTCAGAAAGGGGATTTGTCTGCCTGAATGAGGAGCCGCTGCTTGCCCCCCTCACTGGATGCACTGGCTTCCAGGCACTAGCTGTGGCGGCACAAAAATCCTCCTAGAGAGCTAGGATTGAGGTGGAATATTCTCCTCAGATAAAACGGGCCGTACACATGGCTAGTCATGGCTGATTTAGTGCCAGCGTCAAGCTGATGAACGTTCAGCCAGCCTACCTTCTCCTCCAGCCCTGGGGGCTCCCCAGCATCGGTGGTCAATGGCAGGCGCTCTTCAGCATCTCAAGGATGAACAGGACAGCAGCAGCCTGTGGTCTCAGGGGCTGAGTGAGGGGCTGCCCGGGAGATGTTAACTCTTGCTGAGCTGCAATCCAAAGGGCAGCCAGTTGGGGATGTCCCTTGGTCACCAAATGCTTTGCTGGGTTTCGTTTTGCTCCCCCCCCCGCCCAGTTTGTACGAAGAGCTCTTGGCATATGTAATACGAGGATCCCTAAGTAGCAGGATGCTTTGCGAGGCACCTGGGAACCCTTGAATTAAATTTGCTTGCTGCAGCTGCTGAAAATGGGGCTGGGTAAGAGTAAAAGCGCGGCTTATTCATTGGCTGGTGCTGCGGCTCCTCCAACTCTTCCTGTTCAACAGCTTCTGAGGGCTGGCTGGTCATTCCGGGGGGGGATTGCAAGCAGCCTGGGGGAATTTGGTTTCCTAAGCGATGCATGGGGGCTCCCAGCAAGACGGGCAGGTGCATTTCCATGGGAGCTGGTTGTTCCCGGCACTGCGGAGCAGGCGGAGGGGCGGTAGCGGACATACCAGTTCCAGGAGAATAAGAATTAACTTTCGATTAAAAGCAAATAAACAGCCTGACAGCTTGGAGCCACTGACCCAGGCGAAGCACGTACGCTAGCAACGTGGGGCAAGCTTCTTGTGAAGCCTCTGTTGTATGTCTCAGCAAACAGGCTGTTATTTCCCGGAGCGCATCTGTCGGGTGGGCTTAGGCAATTCGGAGGGGAAAGCATCCCCACCGAGGAGCGGCAGGGGCCTCACAGACGTCTGTCCGGACGGCTTGGGAGGTCTGTCCTTTCTTGCTCCAAGGTGACTGATCCAAACGCCGACCACTTTACTTCATCTTAGCCAGCGAACTTAATGGGTTCACAGCCTTGGGTGGTTTGGTTGTGGGTAGATGCCATGAGGCTTTTGGGCTACTTATTTGGTCAGCTTGGTTTTTTCCCCATGTATTCTTGTAGCATAGAAAGGCGCTGAGGCACTGCACTCCAGCTGAAAATGTTTTTCATTGCTTGGGGATTCAAAGCAGCCTCCCCAAACCAGATCTTTGCTTAAAAAATAAAAAGCCTTTTAAGTTGCTTGTTTCTCTCTGTGTATTTTATCCCCTACCAGAGCTCTGCTCTAACATTAAAGAGAAAGGAAAAGCCATCTAATATTGCAAGCAGGTTGCATCCTGGAGGAAAGATCTGAGTTGGGCTGGTGGTTACGGTTACGGGGGATAGCGGCAGAATTACTGTGCGCTTAATGAGCTGGAACCCATCTGTGACCCGAGGCTGCAAGAGAAAGAGGAAGGGGAAGGTATTGGTGCAGTAGAGAAGTTTAATCTTCATTGTGCCCCTCAAGGAGACCCGAGGCTGCCGTCTCCTCCGTGCCTTCTGATATGCAGGCTCAGGCCAGAACAGGGCCAGCTTAACACATTCCTGCCTTCCCCCTCCTCGGAGCAGGCTCGGCTCTACCTGCCAGACAGACCCCTGAAATTTGCACTGGGCCAAGCCCCGGACTCGTTTGCTAAATTAGCTCACTGGGTTGTCACTTCAGATTAATTCCTGTCAGGGAGACTGTCTTTAATGAGACTGGCCCTGTGCGATGCCTGAGTAATTGTGCGGTCTCTCTTTGTTTGTACTTTCATCCCCTCCATGTTGGATAAACATCCCCTGCTGTCTCCAAAACTCATCTGGGCTCCGGAGCCGGCTGCCACTTGCCTCATCAGCCAGCCAGCGCAGCATTAATGAGTGCCGCGGCAGTGGGGAGCCGGGCTCACCGTGTGGGGAGGTGACAGATAACAGAGCTGTTTGGACAGACATAGGACAGGGGCGTTAGCAGGAATTTAATGATCGTGATTAGAGCGGAAGGTTAACTCCGCTGATGGCCATCGCGATGCAGCGGGAGAGGGTTTATGCCAAGGCCCACGGGCGGTGGACCCGTATCGCTTCATTTCTGCCTCTGAGTTGCTCTTTTGCTCTCCTCGGAGCCCACTTCAGCAGCGTCTGTCCACTGCTGTCTGTCTTTGGCTTTGTGGAGCCGGACGCCCCTCCAAGGGCGCGCAGGCTGGGGCAGGGACATCGCTCCTCCTCTTCACGCACCAGGCAGGGGTGGTGTGATCGGAAGGGAGGATGAGCAAGCAGTGGGCCAGCCCCTGGTCTCTTACAGGAATGTTTAGTTGACAACGCTGTTAACTCGCACCCCTATACTTCCCCCATCCATGCACCCCCATGGTTTGATGAACCCATGTGCATGGCCCTTGGCACGTGAGGAACCAGCCTAGTGAAGTTGGGTGTATCTTCCAGTGCTTGTAAGCAATGCTGTAATAAAACAAGCAGCTCGTTTGGGCAGCCAGGGTAGAACAAACTTCCAGAGCAAGCTGATCCACCCAGCCCTGTATTCATCCGGAGTCAGAGCATCCACACCAAAAGCTTGTCTCCTCCCGTCTTTATCAGGAGCCGGTGTCTGGAGAAGAGTATAAAAGCAAGGCAGACACGTGCGGTACCGCTTTCTCTGCTTCTAGGTGTTATAAGCCCACGTGTTTATTGGGTCCCAGGTTCGGAAAGGCTATGAACGCAGAAAAAGGGTGTGCTTGAGGGGGCGGTGGCCCTTAGAA